TATAATTCTCTTCTTGAGGATATGTCTTCCATTTTATTTTTAAATGGGCTGCGCTACGAACTCATCGTACCTCCCTTAAGAATCAATACCTGAACTGTGCTGTGGGGCAGCTCACCTCACGAATTTAAGACCTAGTGGTAATGAATGAATGACCTGTTATCATTATTCTTTATTAACGAGCAACCCAGCTCCTTCATGACTTTGGACTTTTTGTCCGCCCTTCCGTCCGTTCGTTTGTGTACATGATAAGTCAACCCTTGTGAAGTCACTGTATTCTAGGCAGTTTCTAGTAAATAATGGCATGCTTTTTATAACTTACATCTATACTTGGCTAGTGTTCTACACAATTCCAATATGCTAACATAGTGCATACCGTGACAATTCTAATGATATTTGTAGCAATAATGGAATTGCGTATACTTAGTACGTGCGTATGCTTACAAGAGTTGAACACCCACATTTGCATTAAATAAAATTAAACCTCTACGACACTGATGGAAGTTTAAAAGAATTTAGAATATCACAATTAATTTCACCTACAGCTAGCTGTGTAATAAAAATGTTAATACCCCTTACCCTGCTGAAGTTTGGTCCTCTTATCTCGTCTTTAAATCTGAAAATGAAAACCTGATGCTCTAGTTGGATTGAACTCGAATAAATACACACGTAAAATGAATTGATTCATAATATTTACACGCCCATTATTGCTAAACAAAATTTGAATCCAACCAAAGGAATGGTATCGCTGAATTTAAATACAAATTTCCAACGAATGAAAAAATAACCAAAGTCGCGAAGTTAAAGAGTTATTATCATGCTGTAAATAAATCCAGAAAATTCCGCTTTACTTCCGAAGATACGTAAGAAACCCGAAATTTGCCCATTTTGTTTTAATTTTTTTCTGATTTTATTTGAACAGATTCAAAATATTAAAAAAACACTTTCTCATTACCACTATTTGAGCTCTACAAGGCAAAGTTGAGAGGTTTTCAATACGACGCTTCGTTTCGGAGAAATCATCATTGACTTTATTTTTTATATGGCCTGTAAAGATTCTTCCGAAACGAAATGTTGTATTGAACATTTCTGAACGATGTCTGGTAGGTCAAATAGTGGCAATAAGTATGGGATCTGTTTAAATAACATCAGGAAAAAATAAAAACAAAATTGGCAAATTTCGGTCGTTCTGGCATATCTTCGGAAGTAATCAGAATGTTTAGGTTTTCTTTACAGCATGATAATAACTACCAAACTTTGCCTAAATTAGACCATCATCTTCTATGGTTTCAGAGATCCTTATCTTGGGCACATACGACATACAGAGTTGGAGTTCCGCTCAAATTGTTACTAAATTTATCTTCTTTAAATGTGACTTTGCCGTAGAATTCGTTTTTTTTAGAAATTGTAAGCCCAAAACTGGAACCATTCTGAAAATGAACCACGAAGTTAGCGCAGGTCTTTAAATGTTGGTTTTACACTATTGGTATCTATCCTATCCCAAGTCAAAAATTGCAATTCTTTACGACCTAATGCGATTTTTGTGAGTACGGTGCCTACAAGTGGTTTGCTGTTTGGAGAAGTGGGGACGTTTGGTGCGTTCGTAGTGATTGGCGATTTATTTGAAACTTCAGAAGGAGAATACTTTATGGTGGAAGTGGTGTTTCGTTAAATACTGGAGATTAAACGATTAAACGGGGCTGCTGCTGGTTGCTGCGGCTGTGAGCTTTCAGGACGGTAAAATAGCGTGTACAGCTGTTTACATTAAATTACGGGCAGTTTGCTCTATTTGTTTAATTGGTGACGCAGTTCGTCATCTTTATATAATAAATTCGTGCAGAAGGAAGTTAATTACAGTGGCGAGCTGGGAAAGGAAGCAGTGTAGTACACCGAGACCTTTTGTTGAGATTCCCTTCTTATTAAAAGCTAAACTACTATCCCAACAGCTACCAGAAATGTTGTCTTGAACTCAACAATCCAGATTTTATCATCAATTTCAGGATTATTAAGAAAAAACTATAAGTAATTTTCTTACTTTATTTGTTGACCATCTGCGTACAAGGTAATGTCCAAAATAAGCTCTAAACTTTTCTTAACATAAACATTTAATTAATTAATTTGTCCCTCACATTTTTTACGGACTGTACACCGATAACCGATGGGACTCTTCTAAGGGATTATTGCATTATTGAACCCAGGTATATAACTTCACCAATAAAAAATTGGGAAGTTATTGCAATCACTCCAAAATTCAATTTTGATATTTCACCGGATTTACACGTTTCAACGTCCTAGGAGTCCAAAAAGTGGTTTAAAAAAATGTCTGTATGTCTTCTATTGGCGACACGAGAAAGAGACCAAAACTGTAGTAGAAGATAGGAAAAAACTGTTATTGCAATCACTCCAAAATTCAATTTTGAGATTTCACCAGATTTACACGTTTCAAGGTCCTAGGAATCCAAAAAGTGGTTTAAAAAAAATGTCTGTATGTACGTATGTGTGTATGTGCGTGCGGTATGATTCTTGTAGGTAAACAAGGTTTAGTCGAAACTACCCGACCGGTTTGGTTCAACAGATGTTCCCTTAAATGGTCTCGAGACCGGAAAAGCTTTTGGAAGCGATTCGAAAATGGCAAATAAAATCAATCGATATTGTTGTAGACAATATAATAGTTGATACTGTATGGTACGTACCTCTAGGTTGTGCTGCGACATATGTGACCGTGGGTCTGATGTTAGTTTCATATGACCATTTGGTCATTTTAGACGTTACTTCCCAGTTCCTGTCCAGTAGCCTTCTACAGGTCTGGGATGCCAAGGTCGCCTTTTTTATCAACTTACCCATATGCTGGGCTTCCTCCTTCTGGTAAAAGGGGCCGCCGCCGTTTTGAGCGGATTAATGTTCAGGCCAGGGGTCGGCAACCTGCGGCTGGCTTTATAGTATTCTTTTGTTTTTTATTATAGCAGCCTACTCCGATGTATAAGCACGTAATTAATTAATGAGTAGGTACTTTTGTGAAAAATATTGAATAACATAAAAACTGAGGGGTTTAAGCACAGGGCACCCCTTATAAACATGGAAGAGAACATAAGAGACAATCGAATAGCGAAATAAAATAGTGGTAGTTTCATTTGAAAAAGAATAGTTATAGCACATTGAAACAAGTAAAAATATGCAGGATGTTCTATTTAAAAAGATCAGTTATTTATTGACATCGTAAAAATGGGACACCCTGTACATTCAAAAATAATTCCTGTAGATCCGCAACCACCAATATTTTTTACCAGGTATCAGCTATGTAGGAAAAACCGACGCACTGTTGCAGGACCCTGTATATAGCCAAATACTATAATATTGAATCAAAAATTTTTTGTGGCTCTTTAAAAACTGGGAAATTTTGTAAATTGTAATTTTTGGCTCTTCCGTTTCAATAGATTGCCGACCCCTGGCTTGGGCTGTTATTTATACAGCATCCCTGTGCGATGTTCAGGGTTTATCAGAGATTACTGTGACCAGGTCATCTGCATACTCTTGCACATAGTAACCTTTTTTTGTGTTACCATGGTTAGATCATCATCAAGCACAAGTGACCATAGGAAGGGCGATAGTATCCTCCCTTAAGGACACCCTGTTTTGGTTATCACTGTGACTTGCTCCTCAACATGGACTTTATCCAGCCTATTGTCTTATTATTATTCTCTTTGTTTCCAGTGGTCGCTTCTTTGGCTTCATGCGAGATGTGATTGACAGCACCCTCATCCGCAAACGAGGTTGGAGCCACCTCTTTTGACATGAGCACCTTTTCGCCGAGTTTCCTTTTCGATAGGCGTGTTGTTGGGGGTGAGTCGGATGTTTTGTTAGAACTTCTCTTCTCCGCAGTTGGTCTAAAACTTTTTCTATCTCCTTCAATAGGAACGAGCTGTAGCTGATGGGCAGATCGATTGAGTGTCCTGGTTACAGCTTCGGGAATAGCTTCAGCATCCTTCCGATGCTGTACCTCGTTAATGTGCTGTGCTGTCTTGTCTGGCCTCTAACTATAATGTTGCTATTCTAGATGGTCTATAGATAAACAATTTTGAGAACGAGTTCGATCAAATAGAAGAGGCCAAAAAGGAGTATTACAAATATTAATTCAGATAATGAAAAGTGGATTTCCTAAAGAAAAAAATTGTGGGTATAGATTAGTAGACTTAAGAGGATTTGGACCAAACTATTAGAAAAATAATATAAAAAAGTCAGCCATTGTTTGCTTTATGAACCACCTTTATTTAGATTTTAGAGAACCAACTTAAAAATGCATTTTTTTAATTTAATACACCTGGTCTCCTTATCCTAATCCATTGCTACACTCAATTTGTTGAGATGTTATGATAAACCTGACTTCTAAGATAGCACCCCAAAACCAATCCCTTCGAGCTAAATGGAAATAATTTATCGAACTTGCCAACTGGGAGTCGCCTATTTTTAAGTATGAATTGGCTCTTCTTATAATCACTTTTGTTATGAATTTTCAAATGCTTAGGGGTTGATTTCATCACGAGAATCCCCTTGCAAGTCGATCAGACTACGTTTTTGTTTTGCGTTGCGGTATATAAGCAATTTTATAGCTACGCATGATTCTGATGCATACCTTTGCTATGAATTTATACTTTTAGGGCTGATTTCATTCCGTGAATCTAATCGAAGAGCAATAAGAGTGTCAGTAGATGATTCTAGGCAGAAAGTTGTTGTATGAACTTCTTTGGGGTGTAGACCATGCGCACGTTATGGCTATTGACCCAATTTGTGGTCAGCTTTTCTGTTTTCGATATTATTAAATCTCAGATTCGTGTTAGCATATTAAATAAATAGCTTTAGTTGTGCATCCGCACGCCTAGGGTCTTTTGGGTATATTCGGGATTTTTAGAGGCTGTGTTTTTCTGCTGACTTCACGTAGTTACAAGTACTCTACTTCGTGACCAGACAAAATTCTTTCTTTCAAATTTGTACTTTAACATTAGATATTGTTGTAGCTGATTACCGGAGTAGGTACAAAAAGTAGCGGATATGACTAAACCGTGCCCTAATACCAGGGGTGCTAAAGGCTTCTAAATTTGTAGCATGCGTTTATGTAACTGCCTTAGATCGTTATCCAAATCCTAAATTTGCTATTTTCCCATTTTAATAGTAAATTAGTCAAACCAAGCTTCCACTTTCAAAACTTCCTTCAATAATTGACTGTAATTACCGACCGTGCGTAAAGCGGAATTTTTTAATGTTTTAACCCTTAAGCGTAATCTAATTTTCTATATAAAACATTTAGGTGACACTTTCTTTACTAGTATCAATTGAGCTCTCAAGCGTAGTAATTGATTTCAATCGTCATGTACAAGGTAAGTGGTTATCTGACTGTGCGGTTTCAATTTTAACTTTAATTTTCAGGTTGTACTGTTAATATTCGCAATTGTTGTCGCTGTTGCGGCACTACCTGCTCCAGAAGGCCGATACGTGTCATATGCACCAGTATGGGGTGGCGGTTTTGGACTGGGATTTACAAAGAGGATTGGAATTGGATTTAATTTTCGCAGGCCTTTATTCAGTTATGTTCCACGATACGTACCCTCATATTACGCACCATTCCATAAACATATACACGTCGGCGTTGGATACTTAGGATAGAGACAACAAATGCATTTAAGTTATATTATATTAGTAAAAAAATGATTTATGTACAATTTCATTGGGCGTTACTGTCTAATTAATGATGGTGGTGGTGGTGATGGTGACCGTGACCGTGTCCACCCCAGCTGCCACCGCCGCCGCCGTGCCCGCCGCCATGTCCCCAGCCACCACCGCCGCCGCCTCCTCCTTGCCAACCGCCGCCCCCATAGCCCCAGCCACCTCTTTGAGCTGTTTCGGCAGGCATTAAATCAAGAACTTCCGGTCTAGCCATTACATAACACACGTAAAACGCAACAAAAAGGACCACCCCCTATAAAATACAAATGAGCAATAAAAACTAATTAAAGAATCAACTCACCCTTAACATCTTATATCCAAATAGATCGACTGTAGCAAAGAAACTATGTCTATTCCGTAGCAACGGCGCTGATTTATAGCTACTCTTGAACCGCGAGCTGATTTTTTGGCAGTCTGAATAGCGATATAATATTCCATTTTTTGTTTTCCTAATTGCGATGCTTACCTTGTAATATAACGTATTAACGCACGGCTGAAGATAAATGTATAATGAATATGCATGAACAACATGATGTATTTTACCTGTCATCTAAAAAACTTATTTGAAATTGTTATTGCGAAGAATAGTGAAAATTCTTCTTCTTAGGTTTTAATGTTCTTACAAACTAATAATAGAAAGGGTGTTGATTGTGTGGTGCGACATAACTCATTAACAAATGAAAAGATAGTTTAAACGAATTTCTAATTAACTAGCTGACCGGACAGACGTTAAAATGTTACCTATGAATATTCAATTCGAGCTAGAATAAATAATAAAAAAACGATTTCAAAAACATAGTGTTTATTGTAATGCTTTTTAATACACAACATTGCTAGCTTTGTTTTCTGGGGTTTAAATAAATAATGTTGATGGTTTTCCGACACGGTAACAAGCGACATAGAATTGCCCATGTGAAAGATATACATTTTCAAAGAGAAGAGAATTTCAAACGCATTTCAATCCTGAATAAAGATAACAATTTAGAGATTAAGTTTCTTCGCCGCCATCGGCCACCACTATCTCCCGGTTGGAAAACTTTGATAGTTACAATGTTGCAAACATCCATAAACTAACACCGTGTTTCAAACTTTTTGAATACGTGGCCCCTTTCCAAGTTGAAAAATTCTGGCGATCCCCCTGGCGCCTTAATAAAATTGTCAATAACTTTAGTTAAACGTATTTAATTTTCATTACGTTCGAGAATTAACTAGGCATACATATATCCTATACAGCTCAGGATAAAATCAAAGGATTCCTTGGAAAACTAAGTTTGTGGCCAACCTCTTTGCAAAAATATACCAATCGTTGATAGTAAGGTGCACAATTGCACATTCCTTGCATGATTCAGAGCTTGCAAGATAAACTATCAAGTTGTTTTACAGAACTGTAAGCTAACGATGGGCATAGATAAGTGAATATTTTCTTGGATATGTCATTACAATTGGATTGGTTCGTCTGATCATGAGCATGAAAGAAAATCTAATAGATTTGACTTCTGACGGCATGCTGAAAGTGGAGTTGGATAGTCGGATAATGTAATTTAAAAAAACTCCATATGCACTGATTGGGTAAGTTTTAAACTTGAAACTTGAAAACTGTATAAATCTTTCTGTGATGCTAAGATGTGAGGAACAGTAGGATACAGAATGTAACGAGAGGAGTTCTTTTACTGCGATTTTTCCTTTGAAATTTATACGGAAGGAATATTCTAAGTTAAAAAAGAGTCAAGGTCTCAAGAACATTCAACCAAACAAATATTACTTAGTTTTTATCTTGTCGATTGTAATACGACGAGCTTTCTTCCTTTTCTCACATTGTCGTCAATGAGTTAATTGTTCTAAACTGAATCTGGCGCCCCATTGTCGAATTGTAGTGTTGAATTACAAATGGAAACAGGTCACATTGAGTTACATATACTACGTTGAGAATTAAGCGTTCATTGGAAAAAAAAACAAGCTGAAATTGTAGAGTCAGCATTTTGAGTCCATTTTTTAACCAGTGGTTCTAGAAAATCTTCATTGGACCGAGTTGACAAATTATGTGTTTTTAAATTGTTAGAAACCTATACCAAGAGATATTCACGCATTTCAGTGCAGGGAGTTGAAAAAACTCGTAATCGGGTCGCTCAGTTAGTAAAGAACACGGCCCGCCATTGTAAATGGACTCGCTCGTCATCAAGTTCGTATTTATGTCGCTAAGAAAATGGCAATCAGTGTAAAAGTTTACCTAAGAGATTTCCTAAACATTCAAATCATAATGTAATTGGTGCGAATATTTTCAATTACACATAATGCTTTTTGGCCTGGGCGTGAAGGAACAAAATTTTGTAATTAACTGTATATAATGTATATTAGGTTTTGTAAACGTATCATTTGTTGTAAGTTTAAATTTAGAATAGAGGGAATTTACTTTGACTGGAGAAAGGTGTAAATGTACAGCGGGGAGAGAGATACGGTACATTCAACCACTAATCAGTGCGAAATAAGTCGTTGTGGAACTCGCATTGTAGCGGAAGTTCTTAACGCCCACCATTTTATCGTTGCAAAATATTTAAAAAAAATGCGCCTAAAACTATTGTCGTTTTGGGACAAAAATACCAAAGCAATAAGGGTGAATATACGGGTTCACGAACTACTTACTATAATAGGACCAACGGCTTAAGCGCGCGTTTGTTTATCGCTTGCGTTGTTTTCTTAATTTGACAAAGGAGCAGTGACGACCTAAATAAAAATCACTGGAGTCCATTTATTCGAGGAGACTGCGGCAGAGGGTTGCAGATTTCAAAGCACCAGGCCACCTACAACATCGACAATTCGACATCGACCGGATCATCAAGTTCAACAATTCCAGCTGTATAAAGAGGCTTCATTCATAAGGTAAAAGAAAATATTCCTTTACACTAATTAAAATCCAACGGCGTACATATCTTAAAACTCGCGGTCAGTTTGCATGGGAATTATGACAATTTATTTACGAAGTTCGAATTTAACCCGGGGACTGAAGTGCTAAAGTATTTTCAGAAATTGTTTAGATAGTTAGGTTTAGTTTTTTTTTAGTTTCAACGTAACCGTAATTATTTGCTTTATTTGTGTGTTTAATTAAAATTAATGTATTCTAATTAATGTAATCTTTTGCAATCGTAATTATTACCAAGACTAATCTTTACTAACAGGAACAAAAAGGTTCTGAAATTCAAACGTAGACCAAATTATGAAAATTTCGTAATTCCTTCAGGCATATTATATATCAATTTCGGTATTAATATCTTGCCCAAATTTGGATTACTATCTGCTGAAATTATTCAAGTACATACGAAGATCAACATTATTTCCTATTATTTAACCATTTATTTACCTGATGAGCTAGCTGGAAGTGTAAAAGTGTAATTAAGGTAAGTTCCGAAATACTTCACACCGACATAGACACCGAGAAACGAAGAATAAGAAGAATATACACGGTGAATCATAAAAAAATTGTAACCACCCGTTACATTAGGCCGGTTCAGGCGTTTGAATACCATAACACATCAGCGTAAAAAGTTCTGATTTATAAATTGAAAACAATTCGAAAATTTTGGAACAAACATGGTTTAGAGCTTGAAGCAATTTCATGGACATATTCCTTATGTAAGAATAGAACTATCGAACAGTTTTTCATACGACTTTTCAAACAGTTATGCGCATTCTTTTGTTTTTTGAAAAAAAATTCACGGTTTACTAGATATCAGCGAAAAACAGATTTAGTGATTTTTCTTTAAAATGTTCAATGCTTGTATACAAGTCTCATGGAATAAACGGTATTATTATTATTAACTCAAACTTACATCATGTAGTCTTTTATCGCATAAGTTCGCTGATGAATTAAACATTTTTAGAACACCCCGAGAAATTTTTGAAATTTTAGTAGCTTTTTATACGTGTTTTTAGACTCATTAAATGGGGCATTTCAATATTTTAATACTTTAGATTACATCAAAATTAATTTGAGTTGTTTTTAGTTATCAAGAAACCATTTTAAAGCTCATTTTGTTTTGTGTTAATCGTGTTAGAAAAAAAGAACAAACATTTTCCGGTATTGCGTCTATCAATTGCATTGTGCGTTTGCCATTTATAAACATTTAAATTTAAAGTTTCTTTCTAGGAAAGGTAACAAACAAGGATAAGGGGTATAAATAAATAAAATAAATAAATTGTGATATAATTTTTGTACTGACAATTTTTGGTAAATTTATAAGGAAGATATTGTAGAAGTGAATTTTCGTGGCCACTGAAAAGTTTCCGTGGCCCACCAAAAAGTTTCCGTAGCCTACCAATATTCTGTCTTTGGTTTGTGGCCCCAAGAGATAAGCCATGGCCCCCGTTGAGGAACACTGGTGTATTGATGAATATAATTGTTAATTTAACTTTCATAGTGAATTTTCGAAAATGACCTTTAAATATGTTAAATACTATTACTTATCCCACTAGATGTTGTTTTCCATGGCAAACTCTGTTTATTTATCTCTCAATAATACGAAAATTCCTGCAGCGCGTTGATTTATTAAAGTACATTTAGCAAGCCTTATATCGTTATAGAGAGAAAAATTTGTCCTTTTTAAAAATGTCAAAGCCAACTATGACTATCATTTAAAAAAATTAAAGTTTGTAGTATAAAAAAATTGTAAAATATAGAAGTAAATTAGTATGTTCATAATAAGCATTAAAATGTCTAAAACTTTTATTCGTGTCATTTTGCTGTATTTCTAATAATAACGATTCTACAACAGTTAAATGAGAAATCTGTAAATCTGTTTTTCGCTCATATCTAGTAAACTGTGGATTTAAAAAAAAAAGCTGTCCAAACTCTTTCCTCATTTAACCGAATCTGTATGTCTTATGGTTTACGACATTCCAATGACATTCAAATGAAAAAAAAACTCACCCTTATTTTTAACGAAATACTATTACATTGCAGTATCTTTATTGATATAAACTGATAAGTGCATTACAGTATGTACAAAGGGCAACGTATTCACCACCAACCACCACCGCGGCCCCAACCTCCTCCCCCCCCCCATCCCCTTCCGCCCCAACCCCCACCTCCCCATCCTCTTCCACCCCAACCTCCGCCTCCCCATCCTCTTCCGCCACCCCAACCTCCTCCGCCACCCCAACGACCTCCCAAAATTCCGAAGATGGGGCTCGCAGATTCCGCAACGTCCAGAACATCCACTTCTTCAGGACCGGGGCGGGGAATGGCGAACGTCAATGCGAGGGCCGCAAGTAAAACAAGCCCCTAAGACAACACATTAAATTGACGTTTTAGTAACAAATAACGATATATTACCTTGCCGAACATGTTGATTAGATCTATTCAAAATCTGTCGAGTACTACACTCTACAGAGATTTACTGAACGGTGTCCGACTTTTATACCGGCGTAATGCGTATGAAGATGCATAGTAAATTGCTAATTTATTACCGGAATCCCGATAATTGCATTTTGCCTCGATTTATGCAAATGTCATAAATCATAGATGTCTTCTTCTTGTTTGTCAGTGTAACAACATTTCAAATGCTTGGTATTTTTACTGAGAGTTGATGTCAACTTTAACCTTTAATAATAACAATTATTTTCCAAGTTTTTAGGATTACTTCCTTGTGTCATCATATGATTATTTTTACAAAAATCTCGTAGGTATTTCAGATGGAACGTATTTTGGGTAATTCCTTTTTTTAAATTACATTAATTAAAATCATTAATAATTCCCCCCAAATAGGCGTACGAATATACTAGCGAGTAGGTACGGTAAGCAGCCCCTGTGCAGGGTCTTTACTTCTGAATGTAGCAAGACAGAGCTTTTAATTGTATTATGTAACTACCTATAGCCCAAAATAGAACCTTTTTCTATAACTACATCAATAAGACACTGATTTGTATAGGTAGCTTGGAACTACTGAATCCACTAGAATTGAATAAGAATCTTCCATAAGTTTTACCTGAAACCGTCAAGAAAATCTAAATTTCAGGGCTATTTTGACATTAGAAAGTTGATTTTTACCTGACTAGTACTGTAATATTTTTGCTTGACTCCCATTATAGTCCTAGTACTTGCAAAACAACAATTAGATCGTTGAATAAGTTATTCAATCAACGATTGGATAATTATAATGCACACTATGTGGATTTTTAAATATTAATATACCTACACAAAGGATAATGGTTTTTTAATGACTAACAATTAAAGGAATATGTGTGGAAGTAATTATTCCTTTAGTTTTGCGCCAGTCATTAATGACCGTTTGCACCGACAAATTTAAGCGGAGCTTAGCTTAAGCGTCGCTTAAAATCCATGGCAACGATTATTGAGACAATGGTTGCCATGGATTTTAAGGTACGCTTAAGCTAAGTTCCGCTTAAATTTGTCGGTGCAAATGGGCATGAAGGTTTGTACGCCTTTTCGTACCTCTTTCTTGATTTTGTGGGGAGCGAATATTGCACTACGGCGGCCGCAGCTTCGGCTACATTATAACAACGTCTCGCGTAGGTACTCTTCTTCACTGATACCTGCTTTTGTACCTAGTTATAAAGACTGTACAGTTGAAAAGTACGAAGCATAAACTGCAAACTGCATTAAAAATGACACTGATCGATTTAATTATTTTGAAATCTCTATGGAAACAATTAAATAAAGTGATTTTAGCATGCGTGGTTAGGTAAACCTGTCGCCAGGAAAGATTGCCGGTCATAGAACACTTGATCCCGGTTTACATTCTATGTTTTTCTAAACGTGTGAGCGACTTCCGGGGTAGTATCGTGTGAATGTTGAACAAAAAGACTTCTCGTTCGACATTGGCACGATCCTATTCCGGAAATCACTCGCATCATAGATTGTAAATCGACACAAGGTGTGCTGTGACCGGCAATCTTTCCTGGCAAGAGTTATATCAAAATTTCACACATATTAATAATTTAATCTACATGTTGGATGGACCACCAACCTTTTTAAATATCACAAAAAATTGTTAATTAACTAAAATAATAATATTATTATTAATTTATCTAGATTTATGTAGAAAAAGGGGAACAAGGAACCCATGAAGTAAAAAGTCTTTTCTAAGTTGTTGTCTAAATTACAATTTTTTAATCGAATTAAATTAATCGTATGTGTAGCGTACATGGGAGAATACCTTGTTCCATTCACAAGGTGATTTTACAGATTTATATACAGAGTGTAAACGGAACTAGGGAACGCGATTTTTCGCCGAAGTTATTAGATATAAAAAAATCTTTCAAATAAAAAATTTAAGCTACATAAATTAATGTAAATCAAAAAAAAAAAATTTTAATTTTCGGGAATATACCTATTTTTGACTTTTTTTAAAGTACCAAATACTGTTTGGTAGGAAATAATTTTTGCTTTAAAAGTTTCATAAGTCATATGTATCATATTATGTCAAATGCCATTAAAAGGTTCCATTTAGTATGTACCTAATTACAGAAATCAAGTAATATCAATAACAAGAGAAAGCCTCGAAAACTCAAATTCACTATCGGACAATATTCGTAAAGAAATCATGATAATTTTAGTACGAAGGATGAGGTAGGTAATAAAAATGACAACAGACATATCATGTCATTTTGCCTAGGAACGATGATACAGCTACCTTATATTTATAAATTATGATAAACATTCCACTACAGACATTATTTTAAATGATCGATTGTGAGTACAAACCGAGCTGGGAAGTGGTTCATAACCAACTCTCCGCGCTTATACAAAGCCCTCGGCCTAGGTAATAAACCACTTCCTAGCTCGGTATGAAATCTATAATTTCTTAGCCTACAATAAATCACAAAGAAAGGTATCGCAAAACTTTATTTATACACACTTTGAATTGTAATAACGCGCAAATATTTTATCACCATCCACCGTGGCCCCAACCTCCACCTCCCCATCCGCCGCCACCCCAACCGCCACCCCATCCACCGCCACCCCAACCGCCGTGACCATGGCCTCCCCAGCCGCCGCCGTAACCGCCGTCCCATCCACCGTGATGGTGATGGTGGTGATGGTGAGGACTTGCAGATTCGGCGACGTTCAAAATTTCGACTTCTTCTGGTTGAGGAACCGGAACAGCGAACGTTAACGCCAGGACGGCAAATAACACGAGTACCTACAATTACCAAATTAGATTACGTAAATTTTTTATTTAACGAGTGCATTTTACCTTGTTCATCATCTTGATCCGGTTTGTTTTATACGTATAAAAATTGGTCGAGTACTAACACATTTTGTGGAATGCCTAACTTATATAGCACCTCAGATTCGAGGTTCATCAAAACTTGCTAATTTATTACCTTATGGAAATGTTTACACGCAGCTACAACAAATCATAGATATTTTCATTCTTGTTTTATATAATAAGCAACATAAAAAATACACAATGTGAGTAGTTTAGTTGAATGTAAACGAACTACATTTTTTATTAAGAGTCGTTTTACTAATAATTATTACAGCTTATTTAAATGCTTTTTTTATAATCTATAATTAAAGTTTTTGTCTACAACAAAATTCTGGCTAATACTGTTCATAACCCATCATAAATTTCATTATTTTCATCATTTATATTCTTCTCTCTATTAGATGTCTAATTAATCTAATTGGATTAATGCAAAAAAAATGTGAAAATGTATTAAATATCGGCTAAAGGGGGTAGCCACGTGCATATCAACATATACTGCACTATATCGGCATCATTGGCGCACTTAAATCAACATTTTCAAGAAGAGAATGTCCAAAAGCATTGAAGGTCGGTAAAGTATTACCCATAAAAAAAATACCACTACCGACCCGGATAACTACAGACCTATTACTAAGTATATCATCCGGGTTTTCCAAAATCTTTGAATATTGCTATTTAAATCGCCTAAATAACCATGGATAATATCCCGACATGGTTTCCGATCATGTAAATCAACGATTTCTGCGATTTGGAAGTTTCACTTTTTAAAAATGTCACAGCCAACTATGGTGGGCATTTAAAAAAATGTTTGTTATAACTCGAAAATTATAAAAGAAAAATCGAAATTAATAAATGTATCATATTAAGCCAAAAATCTACAATTTTTGGTCTTTGCATATTTCTGTATTTCTAATACTAACGATTGACATTTAAAAGAAAAATCATTAAATCTGTTTTTCGCCCATATCTAGTAATCTGTGGATTTTTTTCAAAAAACAAAGCATCTTGAATAAGCTCTTAAAACGACAGCTCTTTCCTCATTTAACCGAATCTCTATGTCTTACGGTTTCCGAGATCCTAATGTTTAAAATGAAAAAAAAAACTCACCCTGTATATAATTCTCTACCGAAGCTGTACTTGTTGTAGTCAGCATCATTTTAAATGCAAACTTAAAAATTATTTGAAGGAAAATTGTTTTTACTTCATCGCCAAATATTTTAAATTCCGCTTGTAATAAATAATGAAATGAAATTTATGATGGGTTATGAACGGTATTAGCCAGAATTTTGTTGTAGACAAAAACTTTAATCTTATTAATTGTTTCCTCTATTCGTACTTACCATGACGCATCCTATGTAATATTGTAAATTATCTAAAGGAATTATTTTAAAGCACCACCAACAAGAATTCCATCTGTTTTATACTAGTCAAAATGAAATTTTCCACTAGACGAATTGGGCTAATTGGATGAGATTATTAAGATTATTGAGACGTGGAGTACAGGCAAAATAGAAGAATTAAATTCTAAGTTATTGGTGCTCAAAAGTGGTACTTTTATTTTAGACACTATTTTGAGTCTCTTATTCACTCCAAATTTAACGGGAGAGTCAGTATGTCTCAAATGTAATAATGGTACGGAGAGTACACGTGGAACGAATCCTAGAGTTTGTGTAGGAGGAAGGGTATTCAACTTCGAACCACTGTTACGTTTGTACACCCCCGAACAAAATGGTAAGGCGGGAAGGTTGAAAAAAACAGAAACCGACGCGCCGCTCCGCAGTTTGTTTGGAGATTACGCAAACAGAATATTTTCCAAAAAGTACTACGTATGTAATGGTCCGGTACTAACACAATGCATACCGTTTATGGGATCCGGAAGTAGGGAAAGCCGTGATAGCTAGAGATGTCTCTGGAGTCTGGATTACGATAGGAGGGTGGATAGGCCTCAAATTCGGGTACTTTATACTACTTTCCTGACTTCTTGATGTTCAAACACTCAACGTCACTTCAAGTCATCCAACACGTGAGATGAACCAAAGGATGCCGGAAAGGGAGGTGGAGGTGAATTTTGCATTCTCTTGATAGTTGAGTCCTTAGTTGAGTTTTGAGTAGATTAGCTACAACTTTAATAACATACAATTCCAAAGGCCACCCTCTCAACTAATTTTTACGAACTTGCGGAATGAAAAAGGGTTGTTAAAACAATCGTATCTCCAAATCGTCCTAACATTGAGGAGTGTTAACCCTTTGCCATGCTTTTCTTCTGAAGCTACCTCTGAGCCACGTGTTGCGGTTATTTAATTAAGTATTTAATTGCACATCATTCATTTTATGACCCAAGAACGTAAAGCTACTGGGGATTTTTTAATTTTCATTGTATCCAAATATGCTAAACGTTTTTTCGTCTAGTATAATTAAACGTTTCACCTGGAATTTGTTTACAACTGTTACGCTAATATCAGCGAAAGGTCGTATCGAATAAGGCGAACTTCATTTCCAATTTTAACAAACCTAATTAAGTGTATAAATCTACGCCTTTCCTAAGATTTTAAGCAAGGCAGGTAAATACAAACAAAACCTTTAGTTTATTTACTTATCTACCATTTAGAATGATCTCATATTGAACCTTGACTTATAACCAGACAGACGTAACTTTTCTTAGGAATTTCCAAATAGGTTTCATCACTATACTTACGTTGGAAGTAGGTACTTATTTATTGTACGACTAAATGTGGTCAGGTGTAGTGCACGGTAGTTCAAGGTGAATAATAACCAGTAAGCAGTAGACGCACGTTTTGATTTCGTAGATAAAGGGAACGGATTCGGAACGAAAAAACTCTGAATTATGATCAAATTGTAATTTGTAACATTGATTAAAAAAATCAAAAATTGTAAAAGCACGTTCATTTAGAAGCTAGGGGAAAGTTTATCGAAAGGTTTACCTTAGTTTCAACATTTGAACCCCCGCGACCCCACTTTAAGATTATAATATGCACCCCCGCATGGATTTTAAAGGCACTTTACAGATATTCCCACGAGATCAAATTTGGATGGTCTGGTTATGAATTAATTTATAAAAATATAGAATTCTACATATTTTAACTGTCACCAAACGTCATGAACTAGAAATTTCTCAGCCATGCCATTAAGTTTCCTAATATTCAAGGAACATGGTACTTTTTTGTTGTCTAAAGCATGCGGTCTGTGGTCTAAAGTACCTTTAACATTTTTTTATCATTGTTATCATAATTACATATTCAATGTTTCCACAGAAATAATTCGGATTCGTGGTAATTTACTGTCAAATAGAAAATTTTTACAAATTCCTATTTCAAAAATCTTCCTCAACTTAAAACCTCCAAAAACTCTTTCATAGTAAATAGTTTTTTCAGCGTTACAATTCTCAAATACATTTCAGAATATTGACATTGTCATTATTTTAATGGATACCTACTTTAAGAGTAATCTCTTCTACCACGTTTGGTAAAAAGGTACACAGTTACACATGTTCCGACTTAAATTAGATTTAGCTTGTTCATTTCAAACTTATCCTTTAATCCTATAAAGTTCATTCTGACATTTTAATTATTTTAATTTTATTTTAATTTTGCCAGAAAGCCTGCATAATGTCCAAAACACGAGTAAGTATACCTACTATTCTTGGAATCCAAGTTTCATACCGATTAAAATGTTTCCAACAGTAAATGGGATTAAAACTAAAATTCCAAACGATTTTCAATCAGCTTTTTTGTTACACGAATTATTTGGGAATTAGCCGAATTACTACAATGTCTACAATGAATTTATATGTTCATAGTCCACAATGCTATTTATATTATGAGTGACTTATGGCACACTTTACGTGTGGTGATTGAGAAAACGGAGATCAATAGTAGCTAATTTGATTACCTAACCAGATCGTGCTTCTTTTTGCACGGTTATTAATTACTTATGCATCAAGGATGCGCCTAGGGTAAAGTTGCTTGCTTAGTAACTAAAAGCACAGATTTAATTTAAATATATATTGTTGCAAATATTGTTGCTAAAAGCAACAGCACCACCTGGTGAAATTTAAGATATGATTTGATATCTTAACAATAAAATATAGGTTATTTCGTGATAATTATTATTCAAGAATTAAATTTTATTTTTGCATTTTTGCGGGTGCACTCTTACTCCAAAGAGAAGTGTTTCAGGACGATTTTTAACATAAATCATTTTATATATTTAATTCCTTCCCAATACATTCATTCTTTGCTCCATGGTATACTTAACTATTTCTGGAAAATCAATCTGGGTTGTAACGGAGTAGTTACATTTACAGGGGTTTATCCTGTACGGCACTGTTACTGTAGTAATTAATTTTTTGTATAATGATTTAATGAAATAATTAATGCCACGGCTTGCTCAGTAATAAATAAACTTTGTAAAAACTCTTAGCTTGCGGAAAGAATTGGTTCTTTACTTCCATTTTTAATCTGAAAATTAAGACATGATGCTCTGGTTTGATCACTCTCAAATAAATACTCAAAAGTGAGTGAAAGTGAAGAAGTTTAGTGACATTTTTCCCCAGATAAATAGAAAAGCTGTAATAAATTTATTTAAGAAGACGTACTTCGGTTTCATTGTCGAAATTATAAAACTTCCCATTGGTAAATTGACATTTGTATAATCCATCAGTTTTGTTTTCACACGCCAGCGACGTATTATTAACCCGCTTGCGTTGTTTCCTACGAGTCAGCTTGTCTTTTTGGAGAAATTTCACCAAGAGAAATATCCAGTAAAATTGAAGGAAAGCAGTTTCGAAAATTACCATCTTTCCTTGACTGAGCACCCTAAGCTGTACCTTTTCCATTACGTCAGCTGAATACCAGTTATAATTGCCATTTTAAGAATTTATTTTGCCAAAAACGCGTATTAATTGTTTGTTGGGTGATATTATTATTATTCACAAAATTAATACCGGAAGGCTTATTAATTTTAAGTTTAAAATCGCATCATATTAGGTTTACATGTGCGCAACAATCCTCCTTGAAATAAAGAAATTAGAATGTTAGATACCCTTCGGTAATCCAAAATGACACGCTACTAGTTGCTAAAAAGCATCGAATTGTGGAAAAACTACATCGATCACGTTAAATGCTCATTTTCATAATTACCCACACCCACACAAACATCGAATGACGTTAATTGATCGAATGTGCAATTTTAAAGTTAAGTTAATCTTTTTGTTTACTTCGTTAGAATAATGAGTAATGTATTTACGCACGTTTATTTATACTTATAAAAGTAATATCACTGATTTGTTATTTTTTACTTAAACACTTGTGCTAAACTTCCATCTACATGATCTGTAGGTATACTTCCCTTCTTGATATTTGTAGTGCATTTAGCCAAGCCAAATATTCCATTACATCCCGTGCTGCAAATGTAAACTTTTGTTAGCAGAGCAACAAGAAAGAATAAGAATAGAATAATAGAATGTGAGTGCGCATTCTGTACTCCCTGAGCGAAATATACTGCTCGCCAAAAGTATACCTGAACACCCAGTGCACTTTGATCAATTTTGATTAAACTTTCCGGACAGCTGTATTTATTTCGAAATAAGAAACGATGAAAACTTGAACATTCTAACACTAATAATAATAATGCTTCCATAGCCTTTCCCTTCGCAGGATCTAACATGATGGGTCGGAAGCTAAATGCTTTACAACCACCTGTAAACACTGTAAACGGTTTAGGTGATCTTCAAAGGAGTCTTTTAGAATCTTGGAATAGTGTATAACAGGCTAGCACCGATTCACCGATTTACGTTTCTTATATGGAAATAAATAAAATTTTCCTGAAAATTTCTTCAACATTGTTCAAAAAGTACATTGGGTGTTCAGGAACTTATGGCGGGCAGTACACATCACACAACCTTTAAAGGCAGATAAAGATTGTTGATCAGATGACGTACACCGTGTAAAAGGGGTTACATATCAGGGAAGGAAAATCCCTGAACGTTTTATTTAATTTTGATTTATTTTAATTTCTCTCCGCTTTTTTATTATAGGGTGCAACCTCTTCCTTTACTTCCTGGAAATCTCTCTTACTTCTCTTCATCGTCTCTTAAAGCATCTCTTCCGTTGTTTCCTTATGCTTAGAAGTTTCCCTGGATTTATTCGAAAGTTCCACTTTCTTCTATTTAAGATGGTACTATTCAGTGGCGCACCCATAAAAAAATTCGGTGGGGGTTATTGAAATTAGTAAATCCAAAATGTTAACATAAATTATATTTTTAATAAACAAAAGATTACACAGTTACACTTACACTTTGCCCGAAAAAAACAAAATAGAACATAAAAGAAATTATTTATGACTAAAAATATTAAGTTAAACTAAGTTTTAATTTTCTAGATTTCTGTGCGAATTTCTCTAAAATATTTTCCACAGAAGGGGTCATGTTTCTATAAATGTTTAGAAGAGTTAAACCATTTAGTTTGAGTTTTCTCAAAGTTGAAAAACTACGTTCGCCTTCCGCAGTAGAGACAGGCAATGTAGCTATTATAGCAAGTAATACCCTAATATTTGTAAAGGTGCCTGTAACGTGTTATAAAGCACTTAAGACATCTCTGGGTCGATCTTCATTTGGCAATCTGGCAATTGCTCTATACCAAAGTCTAAGTTCGGCAACTAGCTCATCTATAGTTCCTGTCAAATCATCTTTATAAAATGATACCAAAGACTGGAATTCAGTTAAGGTTTCCTCGGAGAGAATGGTCGGATCTTTGGGAAATAGGCTTTGAAATCCGGTCAATATTTGTTTGTGTTTTAAAAATCCTTCCTTTAGGTTACTTATAAAAGAATCCAAAAATGGAATATATATTGCAATCCGGTAATAAGTTTCGGTACTTTCCGTCAAGAAAGATTTGAAACTGCTAATTTATTGTGACAATCAAGTTGCATGGTTGCTATGGATTAAACATGCAAATTATAGTGCGCGAATTGATCAGTTTGCGCACGCTATTTGCGTGCGGGAATGATTAATTCATAAACGATTGTAGGAAAAGATCATTTTTTTACAAATCTATCAGTGCTTAATTTCGGGGGGGGGGGGGGGGTTAACCCCGAAAACCCCCCCTATGGGTGCGCCACTGGTACTATTGTAAAGTGCAATGGGCGAAGCAATTAATATAAATCAAGCAAATAAATACTTTAGAATTGGGATATAATTGTTGGGGTTGTTCTAGTTTATTGTGACAGAATTTTTAAGTAGGACTTTTTACAAAAGGAAATGTCGAATAAATGTTTATATTTCTTGTACGTAATAAGATCTTTTGTTAAACTAAACATAGTAGGTATAGCTATAGTTTTTAAGGAACTATTTCGTTTGATCTATCGATAACAATTGTAACCATACCATTCATAACAGGATAACTATCAACTAAGCGAATGGAAGCTTATCCTATACTTACATTCATTACCTACCGGCTACCCTTATTATAAAATTGTCAGTTATGGTATTAATTAAATATTAATAGATTCGCATCATATTTATAGCAGTAAAATTGTTGTTAGGTTTTATGATAGATACTATTTTAGTGTCCAATATACATATTATTATAGGCGTTGGTGTTTATTTACTATTGCAGAAAAATGCGGCATTTGTATTTTGTAAACAGATCTTGACTTTTTCGTTAATGGTGCATAAATTTACATTACCTTATGGAAGATTCCTTAACAAATAAGCAAAGGGGATAGTTTGGACTTTTAGAGGACAGCGCCAGATCTATATAAAAAGTGTGCTGTTGGTTTGCCACTCGCAGTTTTAACTAGAGCTTTATTGGACTGTAATTAATTGTAATGATTAAGGTAAGACGTCTTTTCTATATACTTAGGTCTCAAGTGACTTGTACTTGTAGATTTTGTTGCTCGCTATTATCGCAATTGCGATGACAAGTGCTGCTCCTGAAGCGGATTTACACGCAGATGAATCTGCGTACCACGGTTGGGGAGGATGGGGCGGAAGAGGATGGGGAGGTTGGGGTAGTGGATACGGTGGCTGGGGTCGCGGTTGGGGTGGATATGGTCGCGGGTGGGGTCACGGCGGCTGGGGCGGTTGGTGGTGACATGTTCCTGACTGTCACTACACCCATTGATTTTACATGTACTATAACACTTTGCAAGCAATATTGTTGAACTATACTCAAACTGTTATTTACTCATACATCACGTCTCTAATAATAAATACATAATTATGTATACCATGATTACCTATACCTATAAGAAATGATACAATAGCAACCAAATGGACGAAAAAAATCACATCACTATTGCACTGGTAGTAATTATGAAATGGTTCAAAGAGGAAAGCATCTCCAAACACAGGACAGAGCTTTTGGATAGAAGTGTAGATGGTAAAGTGAAAAGGGAAATAGTATTGATTTTATGGTATTTTCTTATACCCGATCTAGAGTGACAGTAGTCATTTTTGATAATGATTTATTGATATATTGATGTGGAAGAGTTATATGTCCATAGGTACGCTTCAAATTTTCAATGGTGAATTGACTCATTCTACGGACGAGAATGTTTTTACCCAAACTCGTCATGTAACCTTCATTTTCATGCCTACTTTCTGTCAGGAAATTTTCCTACCGCTTGTCACTTTACTGGCCGCACCTGTCACTTTACCGGCCGCACCGTCACTTTACCGGCCGCATTTGTGACATTGCTAAATGTCTATAATGACTCCTGTCATCACTGACATATTGACATTAATCAAAAGTTCTATATTAATAGTACGTACCACAAATCGAAAAAACCGACCACGGTTACGGTTATCCGTTCCATAAATCGGTTTCATCGAGGCCTATGATACTTACAGGCCGGAGCGCTCGAAAAAGTCACGTGACGTTAGGGGTCATATGAAATACATTACGGCTTATGGAAAATCCGTGCGCGGCTCCACTATTTATTTTTTTACTCCGGATTCGTTCAACATAGAGCCACGAAATTTCAATGAGAGCTTCTCAATAGTACACACAATCAAATTATGGTGTTCGTTAATTTTTAATAACACTAAAAATAGTTAATTTTTAGGTTTAAAGTATTGAAGATAAAACGATGTTAGTAAATCCGCGTTTTTCTATCTTTATATCATCATATTTCTTTTTCTAGAGAAACTCATTATAATCCTTTCGGTGTCTTAAACTAGAATGATATGCGCCTCCAATTATGCGTATATAATGTCTTATCTCGTATTAGTATAGTTTTAACAGGCCCTACAAAATCGCGCATTTATTATCCGCGCAGAGAAAAATTCACCATGCGAGAAACTTTTTTGTTATTGCTATAATTGTATCACATATATCGAATGAATTGTGGCCAAAAAACACAAAAATGTTCTTCAGAAAGAATTTTTAAGAAATGGCTCTTGTTTCCCTTTTTCAGCAGCTGAAGTAAATAGCACGATTTCAAGAATAAGTGAACGCGCAAAGGAATTATGTTTCAAAGAATTGTTAGTAATCGATTTTCAAATTTTGTTTGTGAGATTCAAATTTACATTAAACTTATAAAATTAAAGATATTATCAGTCAAAGGTATGGAGTATATCATATCTTCGTTAATATGAATTTTGCAGTACATAAAGTATTTTAGTTATAACTGCTCGTATGAAAGTGTAATGGGAAATTTGTCTTGTCCGCCTATGAGGCCTGGTAAGTATCGTAGGCTTTCGTCTTCATTCTATGAATAAATAAAAATAACCTTTGAATAAGTTGTTTAAAAATATTATAGGCTGTGGGATATCTCAAACCACCTCTATCTAAACATCTTCTGTATTCTAATTTCGTTGTTTTACTGGAATCATCAATTTCCAGTGGTCTTTCAGTAGCAAATTTACTGTCACACCTAGAACAGGCGCAATATCTTCCAAACAGTTTTTGTATAATATATCCTCCAATAAATATGAGTACCTTGACATCGTTTTCAGAAGTAACTATTTTGTCGTTTTCTAAATCTTAGAATATTTCAATACTTATATTTAACATCGCCTTATCTTCTGCTAAATTACACGACGAATCTTTGATGCAAAATACTCCTCTGGAATGCGACTTTAAGCGCAATAAGCTTAATATTTTTAATTTTATAAGTTTAATGTAAATTTGAATCTCACAAACACAATTTGAAAATCGATTACTAACAATTATTTGAAACATAATAATTCCTTTGCTCGTTCACTTATTCTTAAAATGGCGCTATTTACTTCAGCTGCTGAAAAAAAGGAAACAAGAGACCCTTTCTTAAAATTTCCTTCTGAAGAACATTTTTGTGTCCTTTGGCCACAATTCATTCGGTGTATGTGTTACAATTATAGCAATAACAAAAAAGTTTCTCGCATGGTGAATTTTTCTCTGCGCGGATAATAAATCCGCGATTTTGTAGGGCCTGTTAAAACTATACTAATACGAGATAAGACATTATATACGCATAATTGGAGGCGCATATCATTCTAGTTTAAGACACCGAAAGGATTATAATGATATAGTTCCTAGAAAAGGAAAAATGATGATGTAAAGATAGAAAAACGCGGATTTACTAACATCGTTTTATCTTCAATACTTTAAACCTAAAAATTAATTATTTTTAGTGTTACTAAAAATTAACGAACACCATAATTTGATTGTGTGTACTATTGAGAAGCTCTCATTGGAATTTCGTGGCTCTATGTTGAACGGATCCGGAGAAAAAAAATAAATAGTGGAGCCGCGCACGGATTTTCCATAAGCCGTAATGTATTTCATATGACTCCTAACGTCACGTGACTTTTTCGAGCGCTCCGGCCTGTAAGTATCGTAGGCCTCGGTTTCATCGAATTTTGTTTGTTTTATGGAACGCGGTTCATCGAATTTGGTTATGTCTGATTGCAACCAATCTAACCACTCTAAAGGCTTGGTTTTCCCGGTTAAAAACAATATGGTGGAAACGTCAAAGTCAAACAAAATTCATGTTTGATGGAAAGTGCGTCAAGATCGCAAAGTGAAAATGCGCGAGCCCCTTGTTAAGAAAGTAATCCAAAACAAGCCAATTTTCAATTATATACCAATAAAAAATTGACCGTAATTAACAATTGTTGAACATCCAAATTACTTTGGATTCTGTAAGAGGTCAACAAAAATTTTCCTGTGGAAATTTAAACAAAGTTTTTAATAATAAAGCGGCGCATACAAATATGGCTTTTGTCAATGTATATTTGGCATAATGGATGTAAACTGTCAAGAATTTGACAGATTTTTTAGGTTAGATATATGTTTGGTGAGAAACAAATAACCGCGAACCAAAAGTAACCGCAAGTAGCCACAACCACGACCATGATTCAATGCTTTTGATTTGCGGTACATACAAAAAATTGAAATTTTATATTAAGTAATAGTACGTACCGGAAATCGAAAAAAACCGATCACGGTTATGGTTTTCCCTCGGGTTATCCGTTCTATAAATCGGTTTCATCGAATTTTATTTGTTTTATGGAACGCGGTTCATCGAATTTGGTTATGTCTGGTTGCAACCAACTTAACCACGCTAAAAGCTTGGTTTTTCCCGGTTCAAACAATATGGTGGAAATGTCAAAGTCAAACAAATTCATGCTTGATGGAAAGTGCGAGGTCTGAGCACTTCTAAAAGTGCTCGAGCGGTTAATCGCGAGCGCTCGGGAAAAGTGCTCGTGAGCGAACAAAACGCTCACGAGCGGAAAAAGCGCTCGGGAACAACGCTCGCGAGCGGCGCCTAAACCCTCAGCGCTTGAAAAGGCGGTTAAAAGCGCTCACGAGTGGAAAAAAACGCTCATGAGCAGAAAAACCGCTCGCGGGCAGAAAAAAATCGCTCGAGCGCCGAGGACTTTGTGGAGCACCAAGCGGCCGCAGTACCCAGCTCTGGTTAGTTGTAGGTTTGGCGAGAATACGTTCCACAATTTACCGCGCACCAAAAGTATCCGCAAGTTACCACAACCGCGACCATGGTGGTTCAATGGTTTTGATTTGGGGTACGTACTATTAGCATATGTAACAGGTCCGGCCGGAAAAGTGACAGGTGCGGCCAGAAAAGTGACAGGTCTGCCTCTGTCATGGAAACATGACATAAAGTAGTCATGAAAATGAAAGTTTCATGACGATTTGGGGTAAAATTTAATACAAAACTCGCCAGTAAAATGACATTACCTGACTCGGAAATTAAAGTACTCAGACCCAAAGGGGCCTCGTCTTCAATATAAATGTGTCAATGTAAATAACTATTACTGAATATGTGCAGTTATTTTTTAATTGCACAAGTCAATACAGTTTTATTACGTTAATGAGTGATCTACTTCATAAAGCATATGAATGATACGGAATCCTTTGAATCAGATTTACTAGAAACTGGTAGCAAAGATCAAACTTTATGGGTTAAAGCCACGGAGTAGAGTCTCCACTCGCCTGGGATAATTTCACTTCGCCACAGAAAAATGTGATTATTGAGCTCTACCACCACGACAAGGTGTAGCTTGGGAAAGATTAGCATGCTCTGTAAAAACTTCATTGAGTGACGTGGACTGCAACAGTTTGTGAACGCTGACCCGAGTAAACAATGGATACTTGCACCATTGCACAGTTTTAGGTGACAAGTTTTGGCAACGCTGGATCAAGGAATACTTGCCGACTTTAGCTAAGAGAACAAAATGGTTTAAGGACCAAAGCCTATAGAAGTCGGTGATGCCGCGGTTGTCATAGTTATATGTTATCAACTATGCCAAGAAACGTGGGCCCGAAAGGACTACGAGTAATTGTCGCAATTCATCTCGGGAAAGATGGTAAGGTCAGAGTCGTTGATGTGAAGACAGCTCAAACGTCCTATGGTCAAGTGTTGTGTCCTGGATGTGATCGGAAATCTACCTTACGGTACATTGAGCGGAAGTAATGTTGGCGCTGCCACCATATGTGACGTGTCCAAGGAATTACTATCTGACAACCAAATTTAGTACCTACACACAATTCTTAGACATAAAAGGACAGAATCGCGCATGCGCAGGGGTGCGGGTGGTATCTTGCTAGCCACAGCAAATTTTTTCATTACGCACGGGTGTAGGTAATGTTCGAAACTAGACGGGCTGAATTAATCTATTATTGTAGGGGCATTATAGCAAAAACAGTCGTGCAAGTTACATGTTTGTTAGGAAAGTACGGATTTCTTTTAATAAGGCTATAGGGTTAACTTTTGCGAGGAAAATAAAAACGGGCAGTTCATCGTTTGCAGCAATAAATTGATGTGGTGGCGCCAACCTGCATTTGTATCACGTAAAATAATCTCAAATAAAATGAACAATTTTGTATTGATTTAGGACTTTTGCCAAATGACATCTCATACTCTTTAGCACTGCAAAATCCTAGCTGGGTGTTAATGGTTACGTAAAAAAATATACGATTATTACAGTTAAGATAGGTAGGTACTTTATTTTTATAGTTAATACTTTTTACAAACTGTACATTTTAAACATTATATTAAAATTTGTATAATAAATACAATATGATACATAACTACATTTATTCACTAAAATCATTATTAGATGGCAAATTACGTTTTTGACGTTTACATTATTAGGTACCTATATTACCAGTTGAGATGTACGAAATAAGCAAGAATATTTTGATAACTGCGCTTTTACATTAAACATTAAAAGCGTACAAAGGCAAGACTTTCTTATAACCAATTTTTAATACCCTGCATATTTTGTACTCATATTAACCTTTTTGGCATCTGCATACTTTACGGAAGGCAACGATTAGTAAACGATTCAAAAATAATCATGATATTGTGCAGTTTTTATCTTTATCGTCTATGGTATTTCCTCTTTTACAAGGAGATTTCTGACCGGATGTCGCTTGCCGTCTCCTGGCACAGGCAAGTGCATCGTTAGGAACATAAGAGATTCGAACCCCTCCGTATGCGCGTCTCGGAGGTAGCTGGTAGTCTAAATCGTCACTGGAAGAGCTGGAAGAGCAAGTTGAACAGTAGCTAGAAGCGTCCTCGTCGTGGTGGCGGCTTGAGCTCGGCGTATGGGTCCCGGAAGTACTCTTTTTGGATCTTCTTCTATCCAAACTATCAAGATGTCTTGTCCTACCCGAATAGCTGCGACTTCTCGGAAACTTTTTCCTTTCGTTCCCATCACCTCCATCGTCCCCTTCGAATGCTTCGTTATCACCTTGAAACCGTACGCTTAACAGGCCTTTATTCTTTTTGTAGGGAGATCCGGGAGTTGTCGAACTGCCTGGCGTGCTATCGCTTGAATTGGCGACTGCTAATTCCGGCATTGAAGAAGCGTGCGGTGGCGTTTCCTCACTGGAACAATTATTGTTTTCTTTTTCCGTAGTGTTGTTATCTGTTTTCTTTATTTTCCCAGAATCACTACAACTGCGAGGTTGCCAATCGTCCAAGCTCAGATCGGCTAGGTGTAGCGGTTCTCTGCTTCGGTCTCTTGCGTGCAGAAGTCTTTCTAAGTCAGATCCGTGAGACTGTTTTTCGTTTAAAAGTCTCTCGAGATTGCGCTCGAAGACTACACGGTCCAGTCCTCGCCCACCTGGGCTTTGAGGTGCAGATTGTATTCCACGCGTGGCCAATTCTTCGCTTTGTATTTGTATGCATTCGGTTTGACCGGAGTCCGATGGAGTAGATGCTGGCTTTGGCGATCTCTGTAACGCCCTTCTTCCCATTTTAGGAGAACGTAAAGGAGGGGAAGACTTTGGTAAGGTGGGATGGCGAGAGTGGGAAATACCAGGAGGTGATGAAGGCGAGGAGGTAGTGGGAGAGGGAGGCGGTCTTCGAGATGGTGAAGGTGGTGGTGTACTGGACTCATTTGGGGAAGGAACACGGGGCGGACGATTGCGGGGTTGTTGTCGAGGTAGGCGAGTTCCCGGACCCGAACTGTCCGATGGAGTAGGAGGCTCACCTTTGCTACATGCTATGGAGCAGTAGATGGCACCTCGTCTTGGCAAGAAAGGGCGACCCAGCAGAGAGGTTCGGCAGGTGTGGCAACAAAAACACTGATCGGTTGCATGCCAATGTTGTCCTTCGTGGCTCATCTGTCCTTGATCGACGCCGATGGGTTCGCCGCAGGAATCGCAGTATTCGGCGAACATGGCGTCGAAACAATGGAGGCAATATGGCCTACCATCGCGCATAATATACCGTTGTCCGCCTAATTGACGTTCACATTCTGAGCATGCGAAATGCTTCATGTGCCAAGCCCGACCTTCTGCCTCCGTGCACTCATCCGCAAGAATAATCTAAAAAATCAGGCGATTAGTTTCTTTAATAACTAGATACGAAATATACCTCATCGCAAGCGGAGCACCTAGGCTTTATTGTTTCCGCATGATGTCGGCCGCAGTATAGTCGCCCATCTTTATAAAAGTATATTAGGTCGACCAAAAGCTCGCGACAAATGGAGCAGGTAAAGCATCCAGGATGCCAGCAGGAATTAGCACCGGCTCTTGAGGCAAATACGGAAATGTCTCCAGTCGATAAGGGCTCTTCGCACTGAAAACAAATCGCCAAAATGAAAAATGTAATTATTTTTATAAGGCAATTCTTTAAAATATCTAATCTCTAGAGAGCGCGAAAGCGGGTACAAGAGGAAAAAATGTAATTAAACTCATGACCAACTAAATTAGTATTACACCTGAGGGACTCATTCTAAAAATATAGCGAGAAATAAAGGGATTTATTATATTAAATAGGCATCTTCTCCATCGTTAAAACAAAGGAAAACAGAGTTACGGAAACACACAAAAACAATAAACTTCAAGCGCGAATCTGTCATAGCCGAACCCTACGAAGGAAATTCATACGCTTAATAAATCTGTCGAAAACAAGTGGTGCGGGGGATGAGGTGAGCAAGGATACCATTAGGATGGGGTAGATTTATGGCACAATAAGCAAAGGTAATGACAGAGGCAGTTTAACGAATTTTGGGTTAGTGCCCCTTTAATTCACGTATGCGACAATTCGGTTATTAAGTTCGTTTTGTTTTGCTTTTAAAACGGTAACCATTAAGCTCGAAATGCAATTCTTTAGCATAAATTTATTCAGTCTTAATTGTTCTTCGCCCAGTCGCCGCCTACTCCATACACCGGAATTACATCAAGCAAGCGAATTGCTCGCTTTATTTAATTGCGACGCTTTAATTATCTCTTTTAAACCTTCAACTTAATTCAAATCTGTTGGCCGTATATAAATCTACTTCGGTTCCGAGCGACATTTCACTATAACTTTAATTCGAGTGCACCCAAATAAAGATGGAGGAACGTTTAATCAACGTCTTATTTCCCAGTTAGGATTAGTAGCCATCAGCATCCGGCAAATCGGCCATTACCTCAAATACTGGGGACGTCGAAGTAATTTGATGTGGCCAGCAATTCTTGATTGACGTCATTAATTAAAGTTATACTAATTACGCGGTCTGTGGTTTTCATTGCAGAAGAAAGGGGGATCGTAAAACAGTTTTAGGGTTAATGAGGTTTTTGTTATAGCCAAGAAGTTCGAAGAAACTCTTTAGAATTTCTTTTCAGAGAGAAGCGTTTTCAGTACATTGGGTTTTCTCGAGGAAACTATATTGTAAGTAATGCAACGAGCTTACGATTATCACTTGCAATTAACTATAGTTGAAATGGCTAATGATCCAAGAAAGCTTTTACGATTGAAGCGTTACAAATATTGCAAGTAGAAGGCGTTCCAACTAAAATTTGCACTTACTTTCCAGGCAATTAACAAATTTCGTCGATCAAATTTAAAGCTCATTTCAAGTCATACATTTCATTCTTTGAGCTGGGGTAGCTTTTAAATCCCACGTGTGTAGTGAAAGCTTTTATAAAAACGTAATTTCTTTAGGTTCACATTCTAGAAATTCAATTACTCACAAGAATTGAAACAACAGGTACGTTTCTGATGAAACTACTGACACTATACGGAATTAACTCCTTGAAATGTACACCCGATTTTAAACTAAAATAAGGAGGTAGGTACACTAGAAAGTATCAGTTATATATAATTTCTTATCGCCTTGTTTATCAATACCAGCATAGATAACTGCCTTACAAACAGGGACCCAGACCGGACCGAAAAAAAACACAAAACCGAACCGAAACCGGTATTTTTTCAGGGCCTAAAACCGAACCAAAACCGTTATTCCTCCAGAAAGGAGAACTTATTGTGAACTGGAACCTCGACCGGAACCTTTATTATTTTTTTCGGTTCGGTTTTTTACGGTTCTTAATAGGCTATTGGATACGTCACGTTTTTGAATTCATGACTTTTTACTTCTTTTTCACATCTGTTAATTAACGAATCACGTTGTTATAATTAAAGACTAGAACCGAAAAGCACCGTTATGAACCGTAAAAATGCGCAGAACCGAACCGTAAAACCGTTATAAATATTTTCGCTTAAATAGAAACAGAACCGGAACCGATAATTCATTTGGATCCGGGTCCCTGCCCTCACTGTGACAATAGCAAACACGTTTTCATTCTAATCATCACTTGCGCTCTGATTGTGGCTAATGGTTTTGTCCATCCGTCCGTTTGTGCGTCCGTCTGTTCCTCGTCTAACTCGAGAACAAAAAGATACAGCGATGTCAAATCTTCGCCAATCGATTTCTACAAGTTCAAGGAGTCCTATCAAAAGTCTGATAACTTCCGAATGCGAGCTGAGTGTCGTATGCAATTCTTGGTATGTTGGCATACGTAGATTAGCATCTTATCATTTGCGGTGGCGCTTTTTGCTGCGTTTCCAATGATATTGCGCAAGGCAGATAAGTTAGTTACTGTACATCAAGACAATGCACAGTTTTCGCAACGAAGTAAATAGATACATGAAGATTTTGTTCTACCAGCTAGACCAAAATAAGCGTATGCCAGGAAGAGGACAAAATTTAGCCCCTATGCATAATGGGTTTTGCGGTTTCCCAGATGAAATTTGTGATTAAATAACGATTTTGCTCTGCCAACTTAACTAAAAACGAAGACCCCAAAATCTAGTTCCTGTGAAGAGGGTTAACATGTTTTACCGGTGAAATTGTTGCATAATTAAAAGTTTTAGCCCAATTTGGACATCATCCCGCAGTAAGTAGAAAAACTGAGGGGTGATACCCTACCAGGCATGAACCTAGTGATCTCAGGATGGTGCAGGGGGAGTTGACTTTACCGCCTAGACTAAGAGGAGACAACCTCATCAAATAATCTAAATTCTAAGCGTCAGAGGGCCGGACCGAGGGAATGATACACAACCTCCATAAACAAATTATGGCCTATTTTGAAGCAAAAAAGTTGTTTTGCGACAGTCAATATGGATTTCGTAACAGTAAATCCACTGCGAGTGCCATTTCGAAGTTAACCGACTTAATTTTAACTTGTTTTGAATCTAGTTAAATTTGTGTTGCAAATTTTTTAGATTTAACTAAAGCCTTCGACTGTGTGAATCACTCAATCTTGCTTTTGAATTTGTAAAAACAAGGAACGGGCTACGTGAATCTTCCTGTATAGTTTCTCTTTGGATGTATTACAATTTGAATCATTATTTAGATTAAACTTAGGAGTAGTTATTCAGATACCTGTCAGACCATCGCACCGCCTTTAAATAATAATTCAAAAGTAATTAATGATTTACTTGGAAGAATCTACATTTTTGTCGCCCTAAGATTTAAATGTCCACATAATATATACGATTTATGAGGTTTAATGTGTAACCATTTGCATTTCAACCTCCGCTTAATTATACACCGAGACTTCGATTATCGACTCAATCTCATTTAATTAATATGATTTATGCAATTTTTTTCGTCTCGTAACGAAGATTGTAGCGCAACGGCGGTGGCAAAAACATAAATTCTACCCTCCAGTAATACTCTCTTTAAAGCTAAGTGGTCTTAATGACGATTCTTTCAAGTTTAAAGTAAAAGCGTTTTCCAGGATTAATGAGCCGATGTGAACGGTCTCGGGGGACGTTTTACCCATTATAACTACTACATTAGCCTTCGAGCTTTTAGATAAACCTCTAATGTACTACTGAGGAGTATTATTTTAAACGTTTTCAAGACTGCCAAAGGCCCTCGCTCGAAAGAAAATTTCCGACGTGATTTATAGGTGAAAGGGCGACTAGCGCGTTGTTGATACTTTAGAACTATACGCTCTTTTTATGCGCTATACAATAATGATAATAATACAACTTACCGCTTCGCATGCCATGGGTGCCGGCAGTTGTTTAACAACACCTCTTCCGAGCGCTTCCCTTTTTCTTTGCGCTGAAAAAAGTCGCAATTCTTTGCGTTCTTCATCGGTAAGGGCGTGGCAATAACGTACTTCATTATCGTGAGGTGGAAGCTGCTGAAGAAGTTGTCTTACGCGATAACGTTCGCCAACGGAATTTACGTATGGCACTTTATCTTCTGGAAGAGCGGAGAAGTATAGATGCACCTGAAACGTTTAAAAGGCACATTTTATTTATTTATTACATGTGGCATTATACTATAAGGATTGCTTATTATTAGTAACTTGGAATATTGAATAAAATATGGTCAAAACGTAAGCTAAATACTTCTATTCCATGCTTTATGGGTCATATTCAACGCTCATTACACTATTTCGACCCTCGAGTATAAATTAAGCCAAGTGTAAACTGAAAAGTATCGTTAGTAAGATCAAACCCCAGTAACAAATATCCTAGGAGAGGAAATACGGAAGGGAAATAGAGGAACTTATTTAGATAAATCGAGAACTATAGAAATATACTATTGGTTACGGTAAATTGGACTTTCAAAACTTCGCCCTCCGCAGATTCGCCCTACAATACTCGCCTCCAAAAATTTAACTTCGGAAAATTCGTCCCCAGAATTTTTACCCCTAAGAAAATTCGCATCAGCTGAGATACTCGCCCAGCTGCATATTAAAATGAAAAATGTTTATAGGAAACATCGACCTCCAAAGAATCCTTCTCCTTGGAATAAACGCTACGCATTCATTTCTAAAGTTCCCATTTGCTTCTGTGACGAAATTAAAATTATAAACTTGTCTCAGAAAATTAGCCTCCCGGTAAATTCGCGTCGAAATATCCGTCCCTGGAAGATTCGTTTCCGAAAGCTACGCCCACAAAATTTTCGCCCGCAAGGTACATTTGTATTCAGAAAACAGCCCAACTCTCCAATAAAAATTCACGTTTCGAATAATTGCTGTCTCCTAAATTCTAGACCTTCCATATTAGTACTCGAAGTTCTGTGACAAAATCCACATTGGAAAAGTTGCATCGAAAGCATTGTCGCTTATGTAAATTCGTCTACTACCCCCGAAAGATTTGTCCTCAAAATGCATAATCCGATCTCTTCGATATGCTAGGAATATACTCCAAACAAAATCCACGTTTAGAAAATCTCGACCCCAAAGAATTTACCATAACAATAATCGATCATAAAATTCTTGACTAAAGTCTAAAACTTCCTTGTACTTATGTCAGAAGATTTTGTTTCAAGGGGGACATTAAACTCGATCCTTCGAGGTCGACAATCCTTAAAAAAAGTATAAGGTCCGTTTTTATATTGCAATTAAATTTTGTTTGGTTCCTAATTTGAATTAATTACTTTACGAATTTTTATTAGAGTCGGCGAAAGGAGTTGCGACTTTAGGACTGAGCATTTGTGACCACCCCTTGACAGAACACATTTTGCGGCACTAAACAATGTCAACACTTGTCCAAAGGGTATTGACTAATTAAAAACTATATAAGCTAAAGAAAATTCATATCTCTTTCATTTTTTGAGACATCGTTTCATCTTTCATAGGTTTGGCAAGTGAAAATTAGTTTGCGTTTAAAAACGAGTATGTAACTTTCTGCTAAACAGCAACGAAGTCGCTGGTTAGAATTTACGGGGATAAAAATTACCACTTTTAGCATTGGCACGCATATATATATTTTTTACATTGCCTTATAACAGTTTTTTTTTCTTATCAGATGCAGTGAGGCCTAATTTTGCTGAAATCACGGACCCTTCGTTCGTACGTACTACCTGACTACACTAAAATAGTTTAAAAAATTGTTATACGTATACGTAATTTTATAATTAATAAATGTCTTATAATTATAATATTTTATTAATGTAACATTATGCCCGTTTAAATGGGAATAATTTTCCTGTCACAAAAATAAATATGTACAATTAAAAGCCGAATACTTTTATTTCATTATTGAAGTTTGTTTCACAAAATGTTATAATGAATCATAAATCCTGTTTTAACCAATAAAAGAAATTATGAAGATAATTTTGTGAAACAAATAAACCAAATAGGAATACGGAGCTAACAAAACGAGCCCAGACGTAAGTATATGAAATGGACCAAAACAAATGTCCAACACAATTTTTCTTATAAATTTTCATCGATTTCAGACAATTCATTTTTCCGACCCAAATATATGCAACTGTATAGCCTTGCTTTTGACCGAAAATCGACTACTCGTGTAACTACTTCTACAGGCCACGTTCTATAAGAAAATTTTTTTTCCGGGTCGATCTGAGACAATTTTGTTTCACGCCTCAGAAAAAGGCAGTGTATAACCTTCCTTTTTTACCAAAATTTCTCGGGAAAACACTTTTTCATATTAATTTTGGTGCGTAGAATCCAAAACAATTCGTACTTTTTCGATCAGACTTCTCAATCAAAAGTTATAGACTAGAAACCAATTTCGAAAGAAAATTCAAAGGGCTGTAACTTTTGAACTAGTAGCCCAATCTTGGAACTGTTTGAAATTGTGGATTCTACAAACCAATTTCGAAAGAAAATTCAAAGGGCTGTAACTTTTGAACTAGTAGCCCAATCTTGGAACTGTTTGAAATTATGGATTCTACAGGCCACGTTCTATAAGAAAATTTTTTTTCTGGGTCGATCTGAGACAATTTTTTTTTCGAGCCTCAAAAAAAGGCATAGTATAACCTTCCTTTTTTACCAAAAATCGACTGCACCAAAATTTCTCGGAAAAACACTTTTTATTATTAATTTTGGTGCGTAGAATCCAAAACAATTCGTACTTTTTCGATCAGACTTCTCAATCAAAAGTTATAGACTAGAAACCAATTTCGAAAGAAAGTTCAAAGGGATGTAACTTTTGAACTAGTAGTCCAATCTTGGAACTGTTTGAAATTGTGGATTCTACAGGCCACGTTCTATAAGAAAATTTTTTTTCTGGGTCGATCCGAGACAATTTTTTTTTTCGAGCCTCAAAAAAAGGCATAGTATAACCTTCCTTTTTTACCAAAAATCGACTACACCAAAATTTCTCTGGAAAACACTTTTTCTTATTAATTTTGGTGCGTAGAATCCAAAACGATTCGTACTATTTCGATTACACCTCTCAATCAAAAGTTATAGGCAAAAAGCCAAATTCGAGAAAATATTCAAGGGGCTGTAACTCTTGATTAGCACCACCTACAGCAAATTTACTTGAGTTCTTTATAACAAAGTAATGAGTTACAGACATGGTTGATTAATATTAACCAACGGAAGCATCCCCTATCAAACTCACGTTCGCATTTAGCCGGAGTTAATTTTACATTACCAATCTAAGTGTAACCAATAAACTAAGTCAAATTGGTATGTAAGCTCGTTATCCATCAGCGAGGAAGGTTATCGAATCACGCATTTAGCAGACCACCTTGTTCGTCCTGTCAATTTGGATCAATATGCAATTAGTCCAATTAAACCTGACCGATCTCTAGGTACATCTTCATGAATATTAAACATACAGTAAGTAAGTGACGAAACACTATTGCATTTTTTCCCAAGGTTTTTCTTATTGCGAAGATAATTAAATCAACTTGTAATTTACCGAATCGGATTTCTTAACTCTTGACAGTGGGTACCTACACAATAGAAGAACTTACCCGATCCGTTTCAGTTTCTTTGCAACTGACGTCTATAATTTATCTTGCGCGTATCGCGATTAAAAGTCTTTTTTCAAAAGAAAATTGTTTTGTGTCTCTTTAGACCCCTTTGATTAGAGAACGCTCTCGCTGTAATTTCCTTCATATAATAGACAGTTATTAACCACAAAATGATCACATGGAAATACATATGCAAAGTTACAAAAGTTCTTTAAATTGGCTGCACAACACTAATAGCGTTTCGATTCTTCTCCTTGCCTTGTGCAAAGGATGAAGTGTGCGCTTGTAGCGTGTAGGAGCTATGGCAGCAACCTTTAAGTCATTATGTGGAGCGAGATTGGAGTGATGAGAACGTAGCATGCATAATAGGAAAGGCGATTGCTTATAATAAGTAATTTCATCTTTTACAGTCGTGTTTCATAACATATGGCTAGCCGATTTTTATTGTTCTTGCATGTAGTATTTGATGTCTTTTTTATAAGACCATTTCGATTGGCAGATGGAGGGCATAAAAACAATGACAGTTGAATCTGTGTGGTGGTGAAAATTGTACTCCCCTAAAAGACCACATGCGGAAATGTGACAAACACTGAATACATATTATGGTCAAGATGTGCAGTGGAGCATTTATGGACGTCGAAAAGCACCTAATCATAAATAACAGCGTAAGGTTTATTGCAAATATTATCCCCTTTGGTAACAACAAGTTTCGTAAGTGTGGTTTATATCAATTTAGAAAGCCAGACGTGGCCTGGGCTTTTGTAAGTTGAAATCATATAGAAGACGTGTCTTGAAAACGAACACCCTTAAATTTTCTGTTGCAATCTCTCGTAGCCATAATCGTAAACAGCATTAAAGATTTACCCTCCAGTTATACTAAACGCCTTTCATGGCCCTCCGTTTTAGCGATGAAAAAATGCGGTCAGTCTTGTACATTCCAGATTGTGAAAAAAATTATACGAGCAGAGAAGTTGACTGTTTAATTAAATGCAATAATTTTAAAAATTTATTACGCGCGCGCATTTTCACGAATTAATGATTCCTGCTAAAATTAACATCAAGCTCTTTAGTTTAGTAACCAATAAAAAAGTACTAATGGAATTTTTACGAATACAATTAAATACTACGTCAGTTTTAATACACGACACCAAAATACAGAAGAATTCGCCGCTGTGACAGTGTCAATAGAACAAAAAAAAAATATTTCCTGAAGCACCACGTAATAATTAAAACATCAAATTTGATCAACCCACTTGAATTTTTCCAATACAATTTTTCGTCGAGGTCCAATTAGCACAGAAATATTTTAATGACGTACAGACGCTGACAAATTCTTTCAGCTAATAGCATTTTCGAAATAATTACTTAAGAAATTATGAGATTATAGAGTCTCAAGCTCGTTAAAGTTAATCTTCAAAACGGATATCTTCTTATATGTAGAGAAACGGTAATATTGATAATTAGGTGAAATAGATTCCATTTTGACATATCTTTTTTTTTTAATTAAATTTAATTGTTTCCTGAATTACGGAGATCAGATTTATTGCT